TGACAGGGAATATAGTTCTTTCTTCATTGATACAGAACAAGTCTCTAAAGCCTTCAGTCTTTACTGTGAACACCAAATGCAATTATGTGCAGAACTCTAGCACAGCCAGGTGAAATGATGGTCTGGCTGAGAAAATACCAAATTAGGCACATATTACTCTATTTATAACAGTCATTTAACAGTCCCTGATGCTGTTGAGACGTCATTTTGAAATGGGAAGAAAAGGGAGAAGCTCAAAGAATGGAAATTAACTTTGGGATCATAGGGCCAACATTTGATCACACACACAAAACAATTACAGCAGTGCCGTTCCCAACCCCTAATGGCAGAAAGACGGCAAGAGCTGCGGCTGCAAATGGACTTAACACGGACTCCTCTGCACATCCACAAGGCGTGTTTCTCTCCCGGTCTTATTTAAAATATTTTAAAGAACAGCCAGTAAACTATTTATCTTACCTAAAATGAGCAACAACTGGAAATAACCCAAATGCTAAACTGACCATATTAAATTGATCGTTCCAAACCAGAATGGCCAATCTGATAGTATTATATGTTAACTCAATCAAATACCACAAACGGGTGGGTAAAAACAGTTAACATGAAGCCCATATGGAAACAATCAAAACTGTTTTTGTGGGAGTAAGTAGAGGACGGAAGGACACTAAACAATGGCAAGCAGAGATTCTGAGTACAAGCATATAAAAATACATTCTCACACAAGCAAGTGCCGTAGGAGAAGTCCCAACTCAAATGTTCTGATGTGAGTTGGGACTTCTTTTGATTCACTTAACAGTTTTCATTAATAAAATATAAACAATGTCACTGAAAAGGAAATAAAACAGCTTTGAATAAAAATAGGCTTAATCATACCGTTAATTAGAAAATAAAAAATACTCTGCCAGCACCATTTTTCACCTGTGATATTATCAGAGACCCTTTGGTCACGGTCTCTCTCGCATTCTTTTTTTTTTTTTTAATTAAAAAGTACAGGTGAAAGGTGTGCTCAGGCTTTAACCAAGCCCCCGAGTGCTTACCTCTCCACCCCTCCCGATCCCCTACCTTGCCAAGGCCTGGACCTTCATGCCGTGCCGCTCCTCCTGCTCTGCCAGCTTCTTTTTCAAGGTGTCGACCTCTTGCCGGAGTGCAGCCGAGTGCTCCATCTCACCATCAAGCAGGTTCCGCAGTGATCTGTGAAGAGGAGGCCCATCTGTTCAGGTGCCCTCCACCCAGAGTCTGCTGAGCCCAGAACATAGTTCCTAACCTAAGTCAAGCCCTGAGCCATTCATTTCTACAAGGTTCTAATAAATCATAATTTAAGCCTCTCTCATCTAAACTGGTATAGGAGATAACAAAATCTGGTCAAGAGCCTCAGACTAAGAACTTGGATGAGCCCTGGGGCAGTCAGCGGCAGCCAGGCTCCATGTCCCTGACCGCCTGAGAGTGGACCAGCCACTTGACAACTCCGTCAAGGACAGCAACAAGCTGAGCAAATCCCAGGAAAGTCTCTATAAGGACAAAAGTATAGGACACTCAAAAGTATAGGACATTAAACTGAGGCCACTTTGTCACAGCTGCTCTTTTTCCTTCCTAAGAAAAGGAAAGGATGCCAGGAGAGGCCAAAAGAATAATCAGAGGCATGAAAACAGAACATCCACTCAGACTACCTGGCTGATGTCCAGTCTTATTTCCCCACTGCCCACAGCACACTGTGAGCCTATAGCAAACTTTATATGGCATGCAGTCTGATACAGTGTAGACAGTGTCATAAATTCCCAAATTCATTAACCTTTCAAAACACGTTCACTTGAGTATCTAGCATGCCTGATTTTATTAAATAAGGGAGAGCACAGCAGGTCTTCCAGGAATCATCACAAGTTACCAGCCACTAGTTTCTACCTAGAAGAAAGCCCTATATGGCTCTACTGACCCTCTTTTAAAGAGACAGGGTGTGGCTCTGTTGCCAGGCTGGAGTGCAGTAGTGCGATCTTAACGCACTGTAGCCTTGAACTCCTGGGCTCTGATCCTGCCCTTTTAGCCTCCCATGTAGCTGGGACTACAGGTACACATCACTATGACTGGCTAATTTTTTGTTTTGGTAGAAACAGGGTCTCACTATGTTGCCCAGGCTGATCTTGAAAGCTAGCCTCAAGTGATCCTCCCACCTTGGCCTCCCAAAGTGCCAGGTTTACAGGCACGAGCCACTACATCTGGCCTCTGCTGATGATCTACTGCTCCTTTCCTGTGGGTGCCTATTTCTAGAAAACAATTACCAATGACATCTAGAGGACACTTGCCATGTGACATTAGGATATAAACAAAACAGTCTGACCCTCACCACCACCCCTCTATTATTCACTGAAATCTTCATAGCCTTGAGAAAATTCCCCTCGTACAGCCTGGGACACCTGACACAAATGTAGCATGGGTTTGTTTGGGTTTTTTTTCTTTCTTTCTCTGGGAAAGAGAAAAAATTAACAGACAATGACTATTGTTCTTCACAAGGTAAGACACAATCTGTGGCCTCTTCTAAGATAATAGCTCCAGCTGGAGCAAGGGAAGAGAATCCTCAATGGCTGAAGGCTTTTGTTGAAAGTTTATTTTATTTCAAAAATGGTGTAATCTAAAGATTCCTTTCAAAGCAATCTCTTTTGTTTTAGACGTCATGCTTGTTTGCTTTTATGTGTTTCCATAAAAGATGAGAGAGAAGCTTGTCAAGTAGGGTTCAAAAATAAGGTTTAAAAGACAATCATGATTGGATGTCACCATGGACCCTTAATTTCTGCTCTAAATAGAGGGATAAGCAGTGAGGTGCACACATCCAGGAACACGTGCACCCCACTCCTTCGAGGCAGCCTGATCGTGCTTGCAGAGACCTGGGGGGTGACGTGCACAAGCCCCCCCTCCACTGACCACCCACAGTCGAGGCAAGGTGCTCACAGTTGAGAAGCTCCACTTCAGACAGCCAGATGGGAGCAATGTGACCAATGCAGGTAGTATCTAGCACTGGTTTCAACAGCAAAGATTAATAAAACCCTCTCCAGTGTCTGCAAGTGAGCTGTGGGCCAAGTCAAAAGAATCCAAATATCATCTTGCCCTAAGTATCCCTAATTTGGGCAAAATTTAAAACAAGTATTAGAATACCTGGAACACGATAGATAAGGCTTTCATTAAAGCTTAATCAGAAAACTGCTTTACAGGAAACACATGATGGCTGAGGGGTACAGGTTTCTTTCTAAGGTAATGAAAATGTCCTAAAATTGACTGTGGTAATTATTTCCCACGTCTGTGAAGACACTAACCCTTAAATTGTACACTTTAAATGAGTGAATTGTAGGGAATATAAATTAAATCTCAATAAAAGATGTTTAACAGAAAAAGTTAAAGGCAGCTCTACCAAATTCTCAGTTTGCCATAAGGTGGTGAACCCCACCACTGTGAGATTCTCATTCCTTTCTCACCCACACGCGACAAGAGATGCAGACTCAAGTGGCACAGTCCAGACAAAAATAAATAGCCAGGCACAATCTAGTGAGTAAAGCAAAACTGGCTGCTTCTGTTCTAGTCCCTCCGTCGCAGAGGCAGAGCGCCAGGGTGAGCCCCCTCCTGAGCCTGACGGTACCTGTGCTCCTCTTCCAGCTCATCCTTCCTGTTCATCATGGCCACAATGGCTTGTCGCAGCTCATCTAAGAAGAAAACAAAGGCAAGATTAACTGGGAGGTCTGGATGTTACGCCATCCTCTCATCTCTGTGGGTTACATGCCATTAAGTTCCTTTGCCCTTTCAAAATTATCCGATACGGTCTAAGAGATCCAATGGGCTCAGCAGATCACTCTTTTATCAGCCACACAAAACAGAAGAGCTGGGCGGGATGAGAATGAATGTGAAGGTGCCTCCTTGGTGAACATACCCAGACGCCATGGAAAAATAGGGTCGCAATTTTTTTCCTTAAATTATTTTTTATTAAACCATAACTATGTGACAATGATTTATTCCCAGCTGAAGCTGTTCATCAACCTAGACAGCAGATTGAGTGACACTGGGCTCCACACTGGCATAGAAAGAGTTACTCAAATTTACTATGAAATCTGGTTCTCCTAGATACCAGTGACACTATGACAGGTGGAGGGCATCTCCAACACACACCCCATAATGACTTCTAGGAGCTACTCTTCTGGAAAGCCTCAACATGAGAAAGCATTCTGGATAAAGAATACCTTTACATTAAATCAGCACCCAAGTTTCCTATCAGCATCAAATTTAACAGTAGTCACCATCCACATGTTGAAGAGACTGCCACATCACTTTGCCAGGTGTCAAGACGGAAGACTTCTGAATGTCTCCTGCAGACCCAATGTTGTGTTTATTTCCCATGAAGGACTCTGTGAACTCGATCTCCCTCTGAGGAAGGGCTGCTAGACAGCTCAAGCCAAAATTCTGGCTCTAGGCAGGGCAGGTACGTGGCAATGTGGCAAACACTGCCTGTCCCAGCTTTCCGTTTAGTCTTCCTTTCCAACCCGTCTATCCACACTGTGACAATTTTACTTGACGCCTACTCGCCTTGGTTGTTGTTGTTTATCTGTTTTGATGCTTCAAATCCTTTTTGGGAAGAGGTGCGGTTGGTTGATTTCAGCTTAAATTTAAATCCTTCTATTTGCCAAACTCTATTCAAAGCCCTTATTGGCATTATCTCATCTATCCTTTATACACACTGAAGAAATGCATGTCACTATTCCCATTCTGTTAGGGTATAAATAAATCACAAAAAAAAAAAAAAAAAAAAAAACGCAGAGTAGATGGGGAGAGTCAGAAATGGATAAGTAGCTGGGTCCCACCATACCCTCACGCTCAGGATGCTGCCAAAGACACCAGGCAAGAAATGGGGTCCCGAGATCAAAGAGCTACTGCTTTGTTGACACTGGCAGGAAACAATAATCAGTTTCACAGATGAGGAGCAAACCCAGAGAGGTTATTGAACAGGTTACACAACTCACACCTCAGAAACATCAGAGTGTTCCTGACCGCTGCGCTCTGACAGAGGCAACAAGGGCCAGGCAGGGTATTACGACTTTGGCTCTTATCTTTACACAGACAATGGGGAAACTGCACCTTTACTCCAAGGCCTGCTTGAATTCAGTATTTTGTTATATGGCCTTCCTCCCCACAGCGACAAGCTGGGAGAAATGAAATCTCTGAATCAAAGAAATTGTACCCTATTAGCAGGTCTCCCCATATCTGGCTCTGTCCATGGTCGTGGCACACACACATCTGGTCTGCACAACTAGCCTGCTCTTGCTGGACCAGAGCAGGCTGAGAGACAACAGAGAAGACGCGCACGGTGTGGGCGCCCCCGCCGTCCTGCACTGGGTAAAGGGTGAGTGTGAAGACGCGCACAGTGTGGGCACCCCCGCCGTCCTGCACTGGGTAAGGGGTGAGTGTGAAGACGCACACGGTATGGGCACCCCCGCCATCCTGCACTGGGTAAAAGGGCAGGAAGACGCGCACAGTGTGGGCACCCCCGCCGTCCTGCACTGGGTAAGGGGTGAGTGTGAAGACGTGCACGGTGTGGGCGCCCCCGCCGTCCTGCACTGGGTAAAGGGTGAGTGTGAAGACGTGCACGGTGTGGGCACCCCC